CATAGTTTACTAATAAAATATATTAAAAATAAAGCAATATGCATGAAAGTTTAGTGAAATATAAAAAAATTTCCATAATTTGTACTTTTAAAACCTTAGTTTACCTAATAACATAGTAAATGCCACATGCTTTCAAGGTAAACTTTGTCAAAAAAAAGTTTTACACTTTGTAGCTTTGAAAAATAAAAGTGTAACATTTACTTTATTGTTTGTGTTATTTTTAATAAACTATGCTTATAGTTTTTATTACATCAGAAATCATTAAAGTCAGCGTATTATGATATGATTTGTGTCAAATTTTATATGTAATTTCTCTAGTTGACTCGCAGATCATCAATTAAGTTTTTATTTATATTAAAATATTTTAATATTTCTTTTTTTTTAAAAAAAAAAAAACATTGCAGTTTCTTGAACTTTATAAAATAAAAATAAAAGTAGTAAGTAAATTTGGGATTTTTGCAGTAAAAAAAAAGATAAAACTATTAGAAAAAATAAAAAATGAATTAATATTAAATCTGAACTTATTTAAATCCAAAAATTATAATATAAATTTAATTTTTTCTAACAGTTCATCTTTTTTTATTGTAAAAACTCTATTATTAAAAAAATTTCTGTAAAAATCTGATCTGTATTTTACCTTTCCATGTTTTTTTTATAATAAATATATTATTTTCATGAAATTTATAACTTTAAATCATGGAAATTTTTATCTGACTAATACAGATATCTATGAATATATCATTTTCACAGAATTTTTACAGAAGACATGGAGAAATAATAGAAATATTTAAATAAAAATTTTTGTAGGGAATTAAAGATATAATATATAATTGATAATTACTATTTTATGTTATAATAGTAAGAATTGTAACAGCTATTGCAATCTATTATTACTTTTAAATTTAAAATATTGTAATATTACAATACTTATGATTTTTCAAAAATTTTTTTTTTTGAAAAATAAAAATTATAAAAATAAGTTTTGTAAAATAAATATCAATATATCATTACAAAAGAAATAATTAATATATTAAATAATTACATATCACATCTTTATAGAGAATATATATTTAAGTTCTTTAAATATTATAACTTTTTGGATTTTATAAAATAAAAATAACATCCTTAGAAAATTCGCCATAGTAACAAAGAAAGTGCATCGCCCTGATCAATTCCGTCATTTCTAATGAACCAATCACTTAGTCCATATGCTGTGGTTACTCTAAGAGATTTGTGTTTAAAAAGGGCTATAGTCCATTCAACCAACGATACCGGAATGTCAATACGAAGCATGGCTCATTTTAATACCTCTAACCCAACTGAATCAAATGCCTTTTTCATGTCCTGTGTGAGGATTCATAGTTCCTTATTATTTTCCCTAGCGTCTTCGATAAAATTGTTAACTAAGTGTATTAGTTCATTTGTGCATTTTCTAGGTAAACCACAACAATTGTATTCCTGAAGTACATTACATTGTTTCAGGACAGAACTCAACCTGTTCGTGATCATTTTTGTAAAGGTCTTTCAAAAACAATCTAACAACGCAATAGGTCGTGTATTCAGAATGTTGTATTCAAAGTTGATGGGCTTAGGTATAGGAGAATGACCGATGTTTTCCATGCCATGGGTACAAGTACGGTTTGTAGCGTCAAGTTTCTGAATTTAACTAAGAGGAGAACTAATTTCTCAGGTAATTGTTAGATAATTTTGTAATTAATACCAAATAACCCTGCAGCCGACTTGTTATTTAATTCTCTAACGGTTTTAATCCATTCTTCCTTAGTAATCTTTTCTATTGTAGATTCCATCTCCTCTTTGAATTTACCAGCGGGTTCGTAAATTTGTTGCTAAAGCAGTGTCAGTATATCCAGTAGAGTGTTTCTTTTTCTAAACATTTTTGTGAAATCATTGTCCACTGCATTTTTAACTTCACTGGGTTCTGTAGCCAATCTCTTGGTCGTAATTCCTGATTCTTCGTTTACTAGCACCTTATCTATAATTATATTAGTGTGGGTGTTTCTATCTAATATATTAGACAGCCATGTTGTTTGGTCTTCTCGTGTAATTTCTACACGTTTATCTATTTTATCTTTAATGGACTTCGTTTTTGCTGCTTTATATTTTTTGTAATCTGCTCTTAGGTGGCAATTCACTTTTGTTTTAAGGTTGTCAAACCATTCTTCTGAAAACATGTCATGTGTGGCTATGTTACACTTATTATTATTATCATTTGATGTAACGTAGTCTTGATTATATTTGGCAATTTTAATTGTCCATCTGAATTTGGCATCCTCATTTGCGATCATTTGTTGATTGCTGTAATAATAGTTATGTAACAGTTGAAGCAACTTATTTGTATGTCACTCTGGTCTCAATTTCTTTTTGTTATACTGTTTAAAGGTATTATGGAGTCTGAGGACTTTCCTAAAGAGTTCTATATCCGCTACATTTACTATAATACCGTTAAGTATGTTCCAATACCTATCTATATCTTCTTGGGAATGTTCTGTTAAGTTGACTTTATCTTTGAGGATATCTTGATCAAGAGAATTTAGTTGATTTTTTATATTGAGCCAAAAGTTATCCCACATTTCCTTTTCAATGTTATCACAATTATATACGACTCTGGTGTAGGCATTATCATTGGGTAATTTATCATATACCATGTTTTTCCTATTATTTTGTATGAGGACCAAAGTATCCATGGTTAATGTAATTATATCATAGTCACTGCTTGTGATGAACGTTGAGGGAGTGATTGAGAAATTTAACAATTTATTACTGTGGGTTTCTGATACCCAAATTTGGTCTATTCTCGTACTAACACCTTCTTTGTGATAAGTGTTTCCTAGTTCCTCTTTATTGAGTTTTCTATATGAATTTATAAGACCCAGTGTTTCAAGATCGTTAAAAAATTTGGGTTTTGGGATATGTTGTGATGGAACACGATCTATATGACCATTTGTAATCAAATTAAAATCTCCCATTAATATATGTACTATATTGTTTGATTTTTTCCTTATAATATCATCACACATTTCTTTTTTAAGCTGTTCCAGGGTATCGTGAAGAATTGTTGTTTTTTTTTGTAGTGCCATGTAAACAATCCAGATACAGAATAAAACATTTATAAATAAAAGGTATACTGAGAGTAAATATAATGAATGGATTTTATGTCCTTGATAATATTTATTCCATTTCCTTGAACATATTAACGCCACTCCTGATCCTTATTTTTGTCGTATTGTTTACTTGACCAATAAATATAAAATTGTTCTTTAAAACTATCAGGCGTTTTGAAGAAACTATTTCTCTGGTCTAAATTGGTTTCGTTTAAGGCCATAATGTCCACTTGGTTTTCTTGCATCCAATTTAGTATTCTATAAAGTTTTGTACTGTTCCCTATCAATCCATTAATGTTGTGTGTTCCAATGTGGAGTGTAAGGTACAATGCATTTAAATCTATTTGTTATTATTCCTCATACCGTATACGTTGACTAATTAAAAAACTATCTATATTTTCTAAATTAACTTTGTTATTGTTATTGTTATTCTTTATTCTATTGTTCAACATAAATGTAGCATTAAATAAAGTTTTATATTAATGTTGTCCATTCTGTTAGAGCTATTCGTTCCAGCCTAATCTCTCTTCTGATTATAATAATTATATTAAGAAATTAGATTTTTAAAATTAAAATATCAATAGTAACATATACTAAAAAGAAGAAAAATTTTATACTAATAGTAATTTATTAAAAAAAGAAAAAACATTATAAAATAATTTTTGCATTATATGAAAAATACAAGTATAATGATTCACATATAATATCATGTTATATTCAAGATAATCATTATTTACAACTTAATCCAGCAAAATTATAGCTTTAAAGTTTAAACATGAGAAATTGTAAGTTATTTGCAATAAAATTGATTTTTATTTGGATATTTTTAAAATTTAATTATTATTGTAGATAAATAAAAGTATATTTAACATTTAGTGCAATTTTAGGCATATTAGTTAGCAATAAATTTAATATTCAAATACAACTATATTACTGCATCTGTTACTGCTATACCATTAACTGTCCTATTTGCTAATATACCTATACCTTTTATTATTCCTTTCAACTAATTAGATACATCTACAAATTATAAATTACTTCAGTTCATAAATTTCTTTTTAATTTGAATCAAAAGTACAATTGGAATGGTAAATATTCTCAATTTGAAACTGTGATATTACTTTTAATTCCATCTAAGAATCTAAAAGTCTAAACCTTACATAATAAGATTTGTAATGAAATCAAATCTAACAATTCTATCAATCAAAAGAGCTTCAAATCTATCACTAGTTATTACTATCAAAATCGATAAAATCATGTCTATTTATTGTAATAAGTGTTTTCATATCAATACAAATTGGAAAAAGATGTATTTGTTGTATTATCATTATTTGGACAAGCCAACCAACAATCTCTAGCATATGATCCAAAATGCAAATTCTCTACAAATTCTCTTGTAGAAATAAGTGAAACTAAATATTCTTTTTGTCTTAGCTTTACTTTGAAAGTAATTTAATAAGTCAAAATAAAAAGATTCTGAAAAAGTTAAAATATATATAAATTAAAATTCAACAACATTTATATTTTATTCAACTTCTGCCAAAGACTGATTTAAAAAGATACTTAACACTTGCAATAATTGTTGGCATTTTTTAAAAATAAAAAAGGAAGAAATTGAATCGTTATAAAGAAAAAATTATTGTTATGCATGCAAACGATTTGATACTGTACTCATTTACTTTCCTTGTGATCACTCCGGATAATAAAGAATGCATATAAAAAATTTTGTATAGATAAAAAAAAATCTGCGCGCCTGCATCATTTTATAATTTTATGTTACGAGAATCTAAATATTTCATTTGCCCAGCCCAAACTACTACATGTATGAAATTTTTATTGATATATAAAGTATAATCACGCTAGGTTTTAAAAATATATATATCACTTATACTATATACCAAACTCTCTGAAACAGACTTCGTTATATCCGGTTAAGACTGACTAGATTTGAATAGTTAAAAATAATCCTAAAACTCGTATTTATTGATAAAAAAAAAAAAAAATAATAAAAGTAAAAAGTGTCCTAATAAAATAATCTAATAGTTAAATGAAAATGAAAATATCTAACAAATAATAGAGTAAAAAAAAATTTTTTTTTTGAATGAATAATTTTTTTTTAAATGAATATTTTTTTTTTTTTATAATAAAAAGAAAATTTTATTAGTTAAATTTATCCAGAAATTCAATGGCAAGTTCATGACCATTATAAGCGGACAAGTTCATATAATATTTAGCTTTTTCTATGTCTCTTGTACAACCATTACCATTATAATACATATTTCCAGCGTTATACATTGCTATTTTGATACCATCTTCAGCAGCTTTTTCAAAATATTTAAGAGCTTCCGAATGATTCTGTTTAACACCTTTGCCATTGTACAAACAATCACCATATCTTACTTTTGCTTCAGGGAATTCATTTGCTTCATCATCAGCAACTTCTTTAAATAATTCAGCAACAATTTTATCTTTATTAGGGCAATCAACATATCCTTTTGAAATATAAAGTGCTTTATAATACTTTGCTTTGATTTGGTCTGGATAAGCTTCAAAACATTTATATGCAGCTGTTACATCTCCAACAAGTTTACCTTCTTTATTAATTATCTTGTGTTGTTTTGATGCATCGGTAAGTGTCATGTATTTAAATGATTCAAGTAAATCGATTTCGTCAATGCGTTCTGGGGGAAGCTCTTGCATGGAGTTGTTTCTGCTTGGGTTTGAAATACTAGAACTTGATGAATCTTGCGGATGTCCTTTGATATGATCTTTATAACAATTTTTAAGAATATCAAACATATCTGTAATTTTTGGTCTAAAATCTGGGTCATGACGAACGGCTGTAAAAATATGTAAAAAAAATTTAGTATAAAAAATAAAATTATAATTTAACTATTATATTTTACATACCATCAATTTCTAATTGTTTGAATTTCTTTGGCATTTGACTATTTCCAGAAAATGGTTCTCTATACCTTTTATTACGTACCCTATCAATTATATCCACAATATCTTCATTACCTTCATATGGAATTCTTTCTTCAGCAATTTCCCAAAGTAATATTCCAAAACTATAAACCTCACATTTTTGATCATATTTGTAATTTGGGGCCCTCTCTAACAATTCAGGTGCACAATAACGAACTCGTTTTAAAGTTTGGCTTTGATTTAATGTAGCTGAAGTTAAGTAACGACTTAATTTAAAATTTGCAAGTTTTGCCGTCTCATCAATTGTAATTAATATATTCTCGGCTCTAATATCACGATGAACAATCTGAAAAAAAAAAAAAAATTAAACAATTAAATAAAAATAAAAATTTTATTAATTAAAAGCTGGTTATAAAATTACCTCAACAGCTCTTAAAAAATTTAATCCGCGAGCAATATTAAAAGAAATACGTAATTTTAATTCAAGATTGAATCGATCTTTATGATTTGTATAAAATTCACGTAAATTACCAAATTCGGCCCATTCAGTCACCAAATACCATTTATTTCCCTCACAAGTAAGTCCATAAAATTTTATGATGTTTTGCCAATCATGAAGTTCTTTAAGAATTGTAACATGATTTTGTACAATCCTTTGGTCCTCTTTCTCAGAAATAGTTTTAAAAGCGAATTCTTCACTTTTATTTATTATATTATACCATTTAGTTACACGTCCATTTTTACGTGGTTTCTCATTATTATCCGCTTCATAATTACAAAAATTTAGTGAATGTGTCCGAAAGATATTATCAATTTTTGTTTGATTTTGTAAATTTTCATTCATAAATTTTTCCATTGTAGTATTCATTGTATTAACTTTTACAACTGTTGAGGAAAACTGATCGCTTAAGTTTTTGAGAAGTTCTTTGATCTCTTTTGCATTACTTCCCATATCATCTCTTATTTCATTCATGTCATCTCTCATATCATTTACGTCGAGCATCATACTATTTGCGTCAGATTTCATTTCATTCATACCATCCACCATTTCTTTTAGATACTATATTAAAAACAATAGTTATAATTAATTTTTTATACTTAAATAAATGTATAATAGACCTAAATTTTTAATCTTACATCAGCTAAATCATTTTGATCGGCTCTTAATTGTTCAAGTTCATCAGCAGTCGTAAGGTGAATAGAAAAACATAATACTTTAACATAACCATCAAATTCTTCACATAATTCCACAAAAGTTTTCTCAATGTTTTTCGCCTTAATATGTTTTATCAAAGGTTTCATTTGAGAAATATCTGATATAAATTTTTTAATTCGAGCTATAATAATAACTAAATTTTGCAAAGATTTATAATTTTTACTATTAAAAAAATCTTTTTTGTCTTTATTTCGAACTCTAAGTTCTCGTACAGCTAATTCTGCAACATTAACTCGGTCTCTTAATATTCCACAAGTTCGTTTATTATGTTCAGCAGCTTCTACTAAGTCGAGGATTTCGTTAAAAACATTTCCAATTTCAGAAATCAATGGAATAAATTTTGAAAATGAAACAGCTGCTTCAATCGCTTCTTTTCCTGTACTTTTCTCATCACTCTTCGCTTTTTTTTGAGGCCGCGGGGACCTTGGGTGTTTGAATTCCCGTTTGCTTTGTCCACGATCTTCCATTCTCAATAATTTAATTGAAAAGGAGAATAAAAAATCTTTACAAAACTTGTTTTTGGACATCAACGTTCTTATACGATCACGTGCTATTTTCTTATACGATCAAATTATGCACCCCTTTTTATGGATCTTTCTTGGACTATGGGTGCGTGTTTAATCACTTATATTTTTTTTTGTTTTATTTATCATTTTATTCTTTATTATATATTTATTTCATTTTATTTCAAAGATTTTTCTATGGAAAAAAATTTCTCTATATTAAGAAAAACGAACAATTATTATTCAAATAACTTTGTAATGTGGAGCCAAACATATTAGAAATTAGGTAAGTTATGTGAATTATCGTAAAAAAAAGGTGAATTCAACATATTAAGTGACTCGTGTGATTGTAAATCTGTAGGCAATGAGTCTGAAGAGTGAGTTAGCAGTCGTTGTATAAGGATTATACAAGGGTTGATTGTTATTAGGAAAAGACTGCAAAGTATTAGTAGAAGGGAGGAATATAAGAAAAGCTGTTAGGAGAAAAATGTGAATTGTGTAAGGGTTGTGAATTCGTATTAGAGTAAATAGATACAATACTAGAATTTTCATATGAATTAAATTGCTTGCATCATGATAAGATTGAGTTTTTGTAACATTATAGCAATTTCTTCTTTTGTTGGTTCCTAAATAAAATATAATTTATTTATACAAATAATAAATTGATTGAAATATACTTTTGTATTTCGGAGATTCTTTCTTGTTCTTTTAGTATTTCTTTTTTCCGAAGCAAATGTATTAGTTTCATTTTGAGAATTTGATTGAAGGGTTCGAAGAATCTGTAATGGTTTACATGGTTTCGCTACAACTTTTTGCGGTGCCCCTTTATTAGTTTTATGTTTCAATTCTGGTGGTCTAAAAGGATTCAGAAATATTGTCTTTGGTGAAAATACTGATCCTCCTAAATTTATAATAAATACAACATAATCATTAGATTAAAATATAAGATTAAAATATAAAATTAAAATATTTTTTTTTTTAAAAAAAAAAAAAATCTTTACCTTGTAAATAATAGAATCTGATTATTTCATTATACGCTACATCAGCATCTCCTTCATTGTCTAGAAAATAATCCCTTATTTGAATGTAGATTAGCATTTCGAAAAAGACATGCTGCATGTTTACAGACATCTCGGAATGGCCCATTCCAAATATAATCGTAACAAATATATTCACCTGTTAAGATATTTGTTAAATAATATCCTTCTCGATGCGGAATCTTATCCAGATGTTTTTATTCCATTTTTTTGAATAAAGGTTGTAAATTATTTATTATTTCCTCATTTAATTTGATAAATTTACTATCAAATGGTAATTCTAATAATTGAATATCATCAAGCTTTCGAACATAAAAATAATCATCATGATTTAAAGACTTAACAAATTCCAGTAAAAAATAAAGCCTTGTTTTCAATGATAATTTTTTTGAACAATTTTCCTTAAATATATTTACGTATTTAGTTTATAAATTATAAAATAATTAAAAACAAAAAGACAATAATAATACTTCAATTGACTTCATATCAAATATCAAATAATGTTGCTAATCCTGCTTCATATCACTATTTTCAGTTATATTTTTTCTTTTTAACTTCACTCCATACAAACGTTCAACAAAATTTACAATAGTTTGAACTCCACTATAATTTACTTCTATTGTTCAATTAAGAATTGAATAATATTATATCTTTCCCATCCATTACAAATAAGCAATTAAAAAAGAAGACTAAAAAAATGAAACAATTTATTATTTTAACCAATCTTAAAAATCCAAATACTTGTATATGATGAAATTGAAAAATATTTAAAAATAGAGAAAATTGATTTAGAATATAACTGCTTTACTTGATGGTATGAAAGGTATGAAAAGTTTCAAATTTGCTAAAAAATATTTAGCAGTTTATACTGTATTTATTTTATAGCATTTGAATAATTATTTTCAGATGCTAGTAATCTTTTAACTATAAAAAGAATTTGAACAAGTCTTATACTTTTTAATAAATTATATTTCTAAAAAGTATATTAATAGTATTTATTTCCTTCAGATATTCAAATAATTTGATTATTAATAATTAATTGAAAATTTGTAATAATTTTTAAAGAAATAAAGCAAATTTGATATAAATACAGTTCATACAACTTAGTCCTAGCAATTAAATTTGATGAAATTTAAATCACTACTATTCATTCAAAAAAAAAGATAAACATAAAGTATAAATATACAATAATAAACCAGGTTAAGCTTAATTAAACCATGTTTTTAAATTTTCTGTAAAGTATTTTTTAATAAAGTAGTAGCAATTTAAAGTTGAAATATTTTACTATTAAATTAAATATTTGGCCATTTTACTCTGACCAGAATTACATATAAATCTGGCCAAAATTACTTTCGTTTAATTATTAACTATGTAAATCTGACTAAACTTATATATAATTCTGGCTAGAATTAAGAATTATAACTTAATTAAATAAATCTGACCAATAAAATTATAGGATTAAGTATTACATAATATAAAAAATTTTTTTATTGGGATTAGGTTGTAGTAAAAGTAAAAAAATATTTTTATTAATTTAAAAATAAGGTTACTTTATAACAATAAAAAATGTAAAATCAATAATAAAAAAGAATCTGATTATTTTGAAGTTAAGAGTTTGCAATATTTTTTAAAAAAAATTCTAAAGAATCCAAATATTTTTCTTTTTTATTTTTATTTTATATAGTTTAAAATACAAAAAAAAAGAAAAAAGAAATATTAAAACATTTCTAAAATTACCCAAATACATATTCTTTAATAAAGTTATCTTTATTTTTATTTCATAAAATCCAAAAGCTATTAATGTTAAGAATTTAAACATATGTTCTTTAACAAATTTACTATTACAGTCAACTCCCTCTATAGTCACTCCCGTTATAGTCACATTCTACTATATAGTCACACCAGTTGAATGTTCAAAACACTTTATTATTAAAATCTATCCTATATAGTCACAATCTATCTATAGTCACTATCACACCTATCCTCAAAAATCTTATATTAAAAAGAACCGTTTATAATAACAGTTATATAAAGAATATATTAAATAACTTGGCATCTAATAATCGTACAAAGATGTATCATAGCTTGTTAGAATCGTCTCACTGAGACGATTCGAATGGTGGTAGTTTTATCCTTTTCCGATCACTGGCTGACGAGTTATTCAACAAAATGTTAAACATCGGCATTATAATATTTCTTGATTTACGTTTACTGTGCCATTTAACATTTTGCTAGATTTCTCGGTACCTAGTAATTGTAAAAAGACGATTTATAGCTCGTTGGAATCGCCTCATCGAGACGAATCGAATAGAGGTAAGCTCATCTCTCTGTGATCAATATTGACGGAGTTATTACTTAAAAACCATTTAATATTTTTTAATTTCGGAAATTGATCTAGTGATTGGATTTCGATGTATCTTATACCATTAGATTCGTCTCATCAAGACGAATCGAATGGTAGTAAGATCGTCTTTCTAGGATCAATATTGGCAGAGTTATTACACAAAAACCATTAATATTTTTTTAATTTTGGAAATTAATCTAGTGATTGGATTTCAACATATTTTATACCATTAGACCGTCTCATCAAGATGAATTGAATGGCGGTAAGATCATCTCTCTACGATTAATATTGGCGAAGTTACGATACAATAAAGTTTTAAGTATAATTCTGGCTAAAATTATGTTAATTTTTGGCTGGAATTATGATATACAAATATAAGAAATTTTTTATATAGTCACATCTCTTTATAATCACCAAATATTACCTCCATAACCTTCAATAGAGGGTGCGGAAAGTAGTGGCCACTAAACGTACAATACACTTGTAAAATAATCACCAAATATGGACTGTCCCAAATATGTGACTATAAAGAGAGTTGACTGTATTTTTATTTATTATTTTATATAAAATCCAATTTTATTTTATAAAGTCAAAAAAGTTACAATATCTAAAAGAGAAAAAAAAAAATGTTAGAATATTTTTAAATTACTAAAGTAAAGAATCCAAACATTTTATTTTTATTTTATAAAATTTAAAAAGCTATAATGTTTAAAAAAAAGAAACATTTCTAAAATAAATAAAAATTCAAATACATATTTTTTTAATAAAATTACCTTTATTTTTATTTCATAAAATTCAAAAACTATAATATTTAAAAAAATATTTTTAAAATTAAAGTAAAGAATTCAAATACATATTTTTTTAATAAATTTATTTTTATTTCATTTTTATAAAATCCAAGTAATTGTAGCATTCAAAATCAGATTATATAATAATTATATAATGAAATAAATATTTAACTGAAGAATAAATTACTAACTGATTATATTATAATAATATTATTAAAAAAAACCTTAGAATAATAAAATCAACGATTACAAATTACAATTATTATGATGAGTTATAATTAGTTATAAAAAAATTATATTAATAATATAAGTTATAATAAATTAGTATAATTAGTTTTATCATTAGTAATTATTAGTAAAAGAATTTGTAAAATATTATAGAATAATTTGGAATTTAGTAGAATAATTTAGAATTGAAAAAAAAAATTGGAGAAATTATTTCTTTTATTTTATTTATATAATGTAAAAATATTATAAAAAGAATAAGTTTTAAACTTAGATAGAATCCATCTACTACTAAGATATGTTACTAATAGAAATTTTACTTTCATATGAAATCTTACCTTAGAATTTACTTAAATTCTATTGGTTAATTAATTAAAAAGGAAAAAATTATAACAATATAATATAAAATTTCCTAAAGTTTTATATGTAAATCTTACTTTAGACTATAAGATGATTTATTTTAATAATAAGCAGAGTCTTACTTAAGTTCTATACTATTTTTCAAGACTGAAAATAAATAATAAAGTATTCATTTATAAATTTAATAATTAATTCTGTTCTTATAAATATTTATAAAAAAATTAATATTGAAAGATCTGAATAGTATTTGAATTCCATTAGACTGAATGGAATATTATTTTTATAAATTTATTAGTAATAATATGAAAAAGCTATTACAATTTAATATTGAATTTAATGAATTAATCAAAAAATATTAATAAGCAAGAAGAAATTATTGAAATTTTAAATTTTAAATAATGGATTAAAAATTAAATCAAGCATGATAAATAAAGTTATTTTATATTATATTAATATTATAGAACCTATAAAAAGTCTTTATACTTAAAATATATTTTAAGTATTAATTTTAATTTTATAATATACTTATAATATGCTCAAAATATACCTAAAATACTCTTGAAATATACTTTTAATAGGTGGCTAAGTATTTAAAATATACTTAAAATATATTTATTGCCATTTTCAAAATTACTGATAAGTTCTAATTTGCAAGGTTTGATATATGATTTTTCATATAACAAAAGTGAATCATATTTTTACACGAATTTTTAATATTTTCATATCAAATTTTTTTGTAAATTATTAAATTCAAGATAAAATATGTATTAACACAAAATTTCAGTATATATTTAATATAAAAATTTGGATTTTTACTATATGGATATTATTTATTATATTATTTATATATTTTTTTTTTTTTTTTTTTTATTTT